TCACCTTTTTTCTACAAAATTTCACCTTTTTTCTGAGTCACCCAGCTCTCTCATACCTGCACGTAGAAATGTGATTCAAACTATAAAACGGAGGAAAACTTCTGCTCTCTCCAAAACACAGCAACTGTTTTTACATAACATGTAAACTTTCCAAACTATGAGCACTCAAAGGAGGAGTGGAAATCACTTTTTCTTCAAAGTTGTGACAGCGTCAGTTGGCTAGAGTGCGTGAAGCAGTAAAAAATAACCTTTATTTTTATTTTTAACCCAAGCTCACGGCCAAACCGTAAAAAGGAGACAAATAATTCTTTCTCAAAATGTAGACATAGTTGTTGGGATTCATTAAATGTAACTTTGACAGGCAGGGTCTGCACAAAATTTAAACGGGGGTGCCGAGTCCGGCAGCAATACCTGTCTCACTCTCATTGACACCTAATGTAATCGTCTTTTTTTTTCAAAAGAATCTCACTCTGTCTTCGCACTGAGCTTACTCACTCATTTTAAGGAATATCTGAATAAAATAGAGACTGTAAGAAACTTCTGGCTTCAGTGTCTGTCACGGTGTTTTCGGTTTTTGAAAAGAAGTAACGGTTTTCTCATAATTTGCAATTGTTTTAAGCCATGTAGAAGCCAAATTCTGGGCAGATTTTCACATTGCCATGGCAACGGCAGCTCCTGACCTGTGTGCGTGTGTGCGTGCCTAGCAACCAGATAACCAACTCTCCAAGCTCCGCTAGCTTTACATTAGCCGCATGTTAGGTCTTAAATTACATTTAGTTAGGTCTTAAATATGTAAGTCCATTTACTGCTTCCTTTGTTGCTTTTCTTTTTGTTTTGTTAAATGAGTGAATGAAGTTGTGACGGTCTCCGCTGAGACAGAGGAGAGGAGAAGCTACTAGCCCTCTCTCGCTGTCACTTCTAGTCGCGTTGCTCTCCTCCCCAGTAATGTTAAATTTAGCACCGAAAAAACATAATAGTGGTAATTTGAATAGCGGTTCATGGGATTTATTAACCCTCAGGGGTCCCTCTGTCCTTTTTTGGACATTTTCTTCACTTTTCTTTTTTGATTTGCTGACCATTTTGGCTGTGTTACAGCTGAAGGTATGGATTTCTGCAAGAAAGTGTCTTTTTTGACATATTTTTAAAATCTAATGTCAGTTGCTGTTACAGGTCTATTATACACTGATAACACATTTTGTACCCTCTGGGGTTACTCGCGTCCAAAAAAGGACACACAAAGAAAATGCTATAAAATCATCATATATCAATATTTTTTTCTGCTTTTTTTGCATACATCTCTTAAACCACTTCAGTTCTGCTCAAACCTACCAAATGTTTATTAGTTTTCAGGATTTTAACCCTTTAAATGCCAGTTTGAAGACATGTTGCCTCTTGTTTTATTAAAAAAAAAACAACACAGAATATGAGATATTTCCCACATAATACATGATGGAGGGATGTGACATTGTTTTATATCAGAGTCTTTTATATCAAGACATTTCTCAAAACCAGAATATGATCAGGGTGACTTTTGAACACTGGAAATAAATCATGTACTCATCCCGGCAGTAGCCCCCGTGGCACTCAAAATTTCCCTGGAATTTTCTAGTTGTCTTTGAAATTCAACTTCTGGAGCATACTTTCAGCTACAGACTTCATTCAAACTTTAAACTGTTCACAAGACTTTCGGCTATGAAGTGATTACTCAGCTTATTGATATCTTTACTTAAAATTTTTACTGTTTAGGATGAAGTTCATCTTTCTGTTACTTATACAAATGATTACTTCTTCACATTTTTAAGTCATTTTATTCCTACTTCCACCTTTGGCAGTAAATAATTTAGCTTTCAATTGTTTCAACAACATGATTCACTTTTGCAGCTAATGGACTTCAGCTCTTCCACTTTAACATTTTGGTATTACATTTTTTAAAAAACTGCACAGTTAATATGAGCTGCTTTTTCAACAATTTTAGCATTGTGTCAGAATCTCCTTCAGGTGTGACATTAAAAGTTTTGCTTGTACATTTCTTCTTATTTATGTTTTTTTCAGCCAATTTAGGCCATTTAGCTTCCAACAGCAACTTAGGCCTTTTTCAACCATTTTCAACCTCCAACTTACAATTTCTGCTTTTAATCTTCAGCCATTACCTGAGCTTCTTCAGCATTGCTTCATCAATCTAATTCAGCTCTCAGCATTCACACTATTGTTATTCATCTTTATTATTATTATTATTACACCTTTTTACCGTCTCTAACTATTCCTTTGGTTTGGGTGTGTATCGCATGGAATGTTCGAGTCTAGAGTGGATGACATCATGGCTAGAGTGGGATAAGCTCTAGAACTCCTCTGAAAAAATTCTGTTTAACTCGTCCTCACGGCCACATATTTCAATCTTCACACATCATGGCTTCCTCAATACCCTAGCACAGAGACTTACAGAATTTGAACATGAGCCTTAAAGTGATGGAAATCCCCTCCACTTCTCCCATTACCTGCAATACAAATTCAGCAGCTGCAGTAACATTTTTCTGTAACTCGCTCCTTTGTCCACATTTTTGGCTCTAGAAACGCCAAAACCAGATATGCTGTGCACGTAGGTCTTGTGCCGGTCATGGTTAGCTCATAGTTCTGATAGGAGTGACCGTTTTTTCACAAATAGCAGTCGTTTGGATGGCTCAGCGGGCCAAAATCAACCTGAGTCAGCTCTGCGTCTTCCAGCTACACACAGGTGTTGGAACCAGCTTGTTCAGAGATTCTTTGATATCTGTGATGTTAACAAACACAGCCACACACATATATACACACACACACACACATATATACACACGCACACACACACACACACACACACACACACACACACACACACGCAGAAAGCTGTTTACAAATTAGTGCTCTAGAGAGAGATTACAGTCAGACTGGACAGCAAATACAGCAGCAGACATATTGAATTTACTTTGAACTTTGAGCTACAGGAACTGTTCAACCATCATAGTAGGTCTCCCATAGACTGCAATACACACACACACACACACACACACACACACACACACCACCACCACCACCGTCACGACCCCCACCCTTCACCCCCACCAGCCCATTTGTATCACTGAAGGTGGGCTAAACAGAAACACCTCTGTGTAATGTAATATACACTACATCCTCCACAGTGATCAATTGAATCAACAACTGTCTAGAATTATTTTAATATTAAATTGCCAACTGAGTATTAGTAATTATCAGGTGTATGCTCAGGCTCCAAAGTGCCTAACTACAATTAATTGGTTAATTACATTGCTGTTCTCGCCTGGGAACTGATATATCTGGTAATCTGAAGATGTTATTTAATTTTATAGTTTTATCATATATTATTATTATCAACCTACAACATGTTTAAACCTCCCTCCCCATTTTCAAATGTAACACAGTAACCCATTTACCAAGAAACAGTTTAACTTAACACTTTAACTTACTTTGTACTTTTATCTGAGAACATTTTTACACAGTGATTTACTTCTACAGATGTTTTTTCACTAATAGTAGTGACACCGTTCACATGTTGACGTTCTGATGTCAGTGTGGTGTCCCATCTCCAGTCAGTTTCTGCTCCTGGTAGAGCTATTGCTGCTCGGTCTGAACACAGTTAACATTGCTGTTTTTTTCATCACAGTCTCTTACTACCTGCTGTACATTTAAACTTACACTAGTTCTGCTCCAGCACTCAGGGCTCTCTGCTCCTTTTAGCAACTTTCACTAACTCAGCAGTTGTTTACAATGCTGTTCAGATCTGCTAGTTACTTTAGCTTAGCAGTTAGCACTAGCTTCTCTTTCTCTCCCTCTCTCTCACTTGCTCGGTGTAGTGTTGATGTAACTTCAGTGTAGAGGATTGTGATGTTTATTACATCTTCAGCGATGTCTGCTGTCTTACTATAGGCACAGTTCCACTCGCCAACTGGAACTAACTGCGAACCCTGACTGCCATCCCTGAAAATTTCCCTCAAAAAAGTCAGACAAATTAGCAAGCTTCACACTGACTCAATGATGAGAAACACTCCATTGTCATGTCTCCATTCTACAACACCGTCTGGTGGCTATTAGCATGTAGTTTAGTTCTGCTGAGGGCTGGTAGTCTTAAACTTAGCTCTTAAGAAACTGAGATAACAAGCTGCTGTACCATGTTACATCATTATGTAATTCATGGAAGGGGCTGATAATGAAAGAAAGCAAATGGCCCTAAGTGTAGTAATTATTAGTAATAGCATGATGACACTTTGTTGTTTTTATGTGTTTTGGTGGCCGAGTTTATTACATAATTTTTATTGCTTTCAAATCTAACTTTTGTTTTTATGAGAAAGAATTTACTTCTTGTACATTTAAAAGTTACATTTTGCTTAAACGTTCAAGTCAAAGTCTTGACAAGTGACAAGTGTGTACCTTGACCTAGATGTACAGGTTGTTTTAAATAAACTTACACAAATAAAAAATCAGATATTTGCAGAGTTGTTTTTATCATGGTGAAAAACATTGAGTTAACTGTCTGCTACCACAGCGCTAATACAGCTGCTGTATCCAGTGAAGATGACATGGATACGTCACTTGCGTCTGATTGGTTAGTGCGTAACAAAGAGCAAAAAGAAATGAGGTAACATGTAGATGTCAGGCTGAATGACTGAAGAAAAAACAATGGTATCAAATCTGTTGATCAGTGTCAGAGAGCCAAGTCATTAAGTGTTAATTTTATCAAGTTACACAGGAAGTAATACAGTTCTGATACATGGTGTTAGTGGGCTCATGTTGACACAGTGTGATGTCCTATAAGTCTGTAAAGCAGCAGAAGCCTGAAGTGTGTTTATTACTCAGTGTTAGTGGTGAGCAGAGCAGCAATTGGAGGAACTGGACTCACGCTGGAAGCTACTGGCACTACAACAGTAGAATGTATTGTACCCAAACCTCATAATAAATAGTTAATGCTAACATAATGTTCTTGTTTATCCCAGGCCGCTGGAGCAACCTTTTCAAACTGCCTTACAACTGGATAGGAACAGGCCACGTGGTTTACAATGGAGCCTTCTACTACAACAGAGCCTTCACCAAGAACATCATCAAGTACGACCTGAGGATGCGATACGTGGCAGCCTGGACGCTACTGCACGACGTGGTTTACGAGGACACCACCCCCTGGAAGTGGAGGGGCCACTCGGACATCGACTTTGCGGTGGATGAAAGCGGCCTGTGGGTGATCTACCCCTCAATGGACTATGACTACAACCAGCAGGAGGTGATTGTCATCAGTAAACTGGATCCTGGAGACCTGTCCTTGAAAAAGGAGACCACCTGGAGGACCGGTCTCAAGAGGAACTCTTATGGGAACTGCTTCATCATCTGCGGCGTCTTGTACGCCGTCAATGTGTACAACCAGAAAGAAGGTGAGGTGAACTATGCTTACGACACCCACACCAACACTGAAGCCATCCCACGCCTGCCCTTCACCAATGAGTACTCCTTCACCACGCAGATCGACTACAATCCCAAGGAGAAGGTTTTGTACGCCTGGGACAATGGCCATCAGCTGACATATCGGGTAAACTTTGTCGACCAGTGAGCACAGTGAGGTTGTGACACAGATAAGCTCAAATAGGCCTGCCAGTCTGGCACCTACAGGAAGAAGAAGCTCAGTATTTGACAGCCTACAAACAGGCATATTGGACTAAACAGGACAAAGGATGAATCTACACCAGCCTTCCAGTACCAATGCATGCTATTCAAACAGCTGACCTCACAGTGGACCAAACATACATGCCTCAAAGATGTATTGGGATGTGTTTGTACAGTATGTCAATAGAATGAGACAAAAACAGTGGAAATAATCAAACAGGTTGAGTTAAAGCTGAGAGTTTAGAGTCATACAGATTTCTTTTATGTTCGTTTATTATTATTCGTTTATGAAATGTCAGCAGGCTGGTTAACAAGCAGAGAGATGAAGGGTGTGTTTAAAGCAAACACAGCCCCTGTTGGTTTCTGACACTTTGACGCCTGCATTTTGGATTTATTCAGATGTCAGTAGATGCTGGTAGTTTCTGAGGCCTGCCAGTGGTATGAGCAGCAGCAGAGAGAGGTTAACTAATCAAGCAGAAACTTTAAGTGTTAACATCCTTACTTCATTATGTCATTAATCTCATTATAAAACATATATGGCCTTATATGGTCTTGGTTGCTGTAGTTCTTCCTCCTGATAGTGAAGTGATGCTCTCCTAAAACAGCCACAGTGTAAAAGATGGTGGGAAACACTACTTGTTTTGAGTCAGTCATGCTAGATGAACTTTATAATGCATTTTTACACAAAAAGATTTTGTACCCAGTTTCTTGACAACCACTTTAGACAGGAGGAGAAATGGTTACAGCGACCAGTAAATCCATTTGGCCATGTGGTTTTGTATCAAAACAGACCTGGGAAATAAGTTGGGCTGATATTCAACAACATTGCAATAATATCGAATACTGCAGTGTTTCCAATTGCATTTGCAATATCTCTCATAATCTTGAAAATATACCCCCTCAGCGATGAAATTGTATATCACGATAATTGGAATATATTATTTAAATATAAATAAAGTCAATAGTACCAGACCATGACACCCTGCAGCCCAACTACATTTGGGCGTTTTACTAGCAGCAAACCGTCTTCACAGTGCTGACCTTTCAGGACAGGAGAGAACAAAACGGAGGACGCTATCACAGATTAGCATTAGTGTTTCATTTTTGTTTAACCCTCCTCTCAGTCAGTGCCCAAGTGCTCTTTTGACCACAAGTGTGACTGTGTAGCTATATAAAACCCTAGCAATTAGCTTACCTGATACAGTAGTTCACCAGCTAACCCTGCAGGTAGTCTCTATGTCACCAAACCTCCAGCACTGGCATTTTCTTCAGGACATGTGGTTTCTGATGTGAGAGGTGTTGGATTATAATGTTTTCTCTGAACACCTGTAGGAATACAGTTGGTAAGTTCCTTGTTGGCAAGCAGGATTTGAGTGCTCTACCTGAACACTGGTCTCTATTTATTTATTTTTTCTAGTTTTTGGGGTTTTTAACAGGAAATTAAATATATTCAGCCACAGTTGTTGACACTTGGTTTGAATTTTTAAGCTTTAAGAAAAATAGCCTAACAAGCTAATGTATTAGATTATGCAGCATGGCTGGATTCAGTAATCATTTAGGCTTCCTAATCTTAGACACCAAACAGTTTTTACAGAGCGGGTGTTACTTGGCTCCGCACCCTGGCATTTAACTCAACCAAGGAGATTATTTCTTCTGATAACTGTTTGTCAAACTAAACTATTAGCTGTGGTTTCACTTGTCCATCTACTCCATCCTATCACCAAGCACTTTGACCATGATTCTGCTTTGTTTATTATTCCGGCCTCCTGATGCTTCCTGTCTCTTTACCATAGATATTGTTTTGAGGAATGTGTTGAATATAATATGAACTCCAAAAAATACACTTTTATACTTACATGAATTCATTTGACTATTAATATCATACAGAGTTCCATGCATCTTGTTATATTTCTGTTGTTGTGTAAAAGTATGCAGATTTTGCCACTACATTTGTTGTAATTATTGTGAATTTGAACATTTTCACCTCAGTGCAAATTAAGAAGCGCGATCAGTCATGCTAACACAACAGCTGCCTGTTCCATGTCCAACAATGGACGCCATAAACCATCAATGATTTAATGTCTGACAGTGACAGCAGAACTGTGTGAGACACATAGTGGCGATGATAAGCTTTAACATATGTATTCTGTTATAGCACTTCATAGTGTTGCTTCAGTCTCATACACATTTCATTATTCACAACTGAATTATTCTATTCTGTCAAGTTTGTTGATAAAAGACATGCTGATTGCAATAAAGAATTTTGGTCAATTGCAAAGTCTTTTACTTAAATAATGATGTAATGAAATGTAGCACAACACTTGAAAACAACTGTGTGTGTGTCTGCTATGAAATAATATTTCCATGGTAAAAGTCTGTCCTGTAAGTCAATCTGCAGTGGCGCAGTAAAGCCACGCAAGCAGAACTGGCCCTGCCCGCCTCCTGCTGAAGGGATGATGACGGTGACTCATTTCTTCTCATGAGCTGTGTTTAGCTGTGGGGTAGAGGTCACCATGCTCTGCCTGATCTCAGTCCCAAAATATCCTAAAGAAGCAGCTCTGGGTCGTGGTCATACAGGCACGGCTGTCTCATTTCTTGGCCGGGGATTTGAGAATCTTCAACTTAAGCTCCAAGTTATGCAACTCTGGAGGAAGAGGCTGAAGTAAACCCAGAGCTGAATGGTGGGTTTGGTGAGTCCCTTTATGTGGGCCTCATTAAAGAAAATCAAATCCCCTCTTCTATTTAAAGAAGAGCTGCGTGGACTTTTTTACACTCAGATAATGAGGTTCATTAATGAGTGTATAACAAGTCAGTGGGTCTCATGAAGGCATCACTAATGGTGTTACCAATCATGAATTCTGTCACGAAATGTTTACATGTTGTTGTAATGGAACAATGTAGTCCACGCTGGCCGTGGTGATGAACACTGACAATTCACATGACCTGTGCTGCTTCAGTCCCGGCACCTTATGGCCAATACAAAAGCTCTCCTGTTGTTAAACCAGGACTCAACTTGATCTTGTTCACATCAGCAGGGCCTCACACTCATCATATACCATTATGTTCTCACAGTGGCCAGGATGTAAAGCCTTTGTCCCCATTTTACATGCCACTATGTCATGTTCAAGAAGTAATTGGGTTAATGTAGGAAGGCGCTCTCCTCCTCCCCCTCCCCAACACAGGCCTTTACAATACTAAGGTTATTTTCTCCCACTGTGGGACCTTCCAGTGCATCATCGACCCACATGCATGTACAGATATACACCCAGCACTGCAGTTACTCATCAGGACCTGTGTATTGGTCTGATTATGAAGCAAAGGCCCACACATTCAGCCAAGACCACAGCAGAGTCCTGAGCTGTGGACTGGAGTCACATGATTCAAATTCAAGTTAGAGTCTGATGAATCTGACGACTTCAGACTCGGATCAGAAAAGACTTTAACACCATGGACTAGTGACTTCACTGTATGATTTTATTATATTATCATAATAGCTAATTAACATTAATATCTTAGAGGTGCTGTTTATAAGTTTCCTCTGCTGCTGAACGTGGTTTCTTGTCAGGAGCAGTTGGTGGTGATTATCACTTTTTACAAGAGCTTCAGCCATTGTTGTCATTATAAGGCAAAATACATCCTCTGAGTAGTTCAAAGTTCAAAGTGTGTTCCTGCAGTACCGGACACTGCAGTTCCAGGGCTGGAATTTTAGGACAGCAATTTCAGGACCCAAATTGTGATAAGACAGGTCGGGGCTAGCTGGTTAGCATGCTTACTTCAGTAGAAGAAAAGACGTGATAGAAACGAGATTTAACATTGTTGTTTGTGTCCACGTCTGCAGACAGCTGTTGTTGTATAAAGGAATGAGGTTTCACGCTGAACTTACAATGTTTCTTCTAGACTGGTCAGTAAACAGCTGCTCATGCTAATGTTAGCTATGTAGCAATAGCTAAACTTACAGATAGCTCCTCTAAATGACTTAACAAAAAACTAAAATGCAACTTTTGTTCTGTCGTCTCCTCTGCAGCCTGTGTCTTCCCTGATCCTGATCACAGCTGTAGACTTGGCCTACACTAAAGTTGTTTCAAAATAAAAGTATGTGTTACCACTTCCCTAACATTTCAAGATAAAACAAAACACCTTCAGTCTTCTACCTAAGTATGGCGCTTATGGTTTAATTTCTCCTTAGCTGATGGGGTTACTTAAGGCTGTTGCACAGAATCTCTTAAAAGTTTTCCTTAGTTAAGGAAATAGTAGGTATTTGCAACAGTGAAAGAGATTTTACAGCAGTAACATTCTTCTGCATCGTTAAAGGGTGTCTCCGGGTCAAGTTAATTTCCTTCATTTAAACTCTGTCATGTTGCACACAAGAGTCAGAGATACTTTTAGTTTTTTTCCTTACTTTGGTCACTAAGGTCTTTTGTGCAACAGTTTAACTGACTTTAAGTGATTTCTTAAATACTTAAGAAGTAGTTCTCTCAAACACTTGGTGGATAAAGGGAAGCGCTGCTTGCTTGAAATGAACTTTTGTCCTTTGCCTGTTGTCAGTTACTTGCTCCACTGCATTTTAAGGCATTTTTTTTTGTATTTTTAGAGAAAACCTTAAATCCCTAAATGAACAATTTAAGGAAACCTTAAGAACAAGACTTAAGGTTGTTTTGTGCAACTGTTTTTATTTTAAGGAAACCTTACCTCTGACTTTAAGGAAAATCTTTTTGTGCAACCTGCCCATGATACTGACTGTATAAATTAGTTATAATATTAAACATAGTGAGTCAACTTAACTACAAAAATATGAATGAAATGAATTTGCTCTGTTGCGTGACACTGATAAGAGCTGCCAGATAAACTCTCAGTCTGGGTTTTGGTTTTGACAGTCTGGATCGGCACTGATCCTGGTTCCTGTCTCCATTAAAAAATATGTATGTGGTGTCATTTCTTGTCATTTTCACACTAAGCACTGATTTGAACTTTTTGACTTCACATCCCAGGTCTCTGACTTTTGGTCCAAAAGACTTGAGACTTAATGTGGTACTGACCAAAGATCATGTGTGTGGTACAAGAAGCATCACTGTAACATCTGTGACAGTCCCTGCTTGAGTGTGTCATGGGCAGTTACTGTGCTGTTGTGTCTTTTGAAGGTAAGTGGAAGGAGGTGATCACAGCAGCCAGATTTGAAGCACCATGGGCTGTGCGCTCCCAGGGCATATAGGCACGGGCTCACATCGCTCTTCCCTCTCCCTCACCTGGACTCATTCCTGCCAGCATCGGCATGTTTTCTTTTCTTTGGCTTTTGTTTTCGTTTTGCTCTACAACATCCTACAATTCACTACATTCACATTACTGATATTACTGTCTGTCACACTCCAATTTGTATTTGTCTCTTCAGTTTATTCATTTTTATAAGAAATGTTCTAATCAACTATCATCTGTTGTGTCCATTCCCTAATATGTCGTTGCCTAGGAGCCAGGCTATGACACATCATTTTGATATCACATGAAGACTGTGTGTCTTAGTAAGTAAATGAGCTGACCTGGCGATGCAGATGGCTGAGAGAGCACAAATGTCAGTCTGATGAGGCAGGGGTGAGGGTGAGACACTCAGATGCGGAGGAGGAACCAGTGTGAAAGAATTTATTCAAACAAAAAAACCAAAGTCCATACATGAGCAGAAGCCGCCGACAAAACAGACACCAAACCTCATAACCAACAATGATCCCACAAAGACAAGACAGAGCAAGGGCTTTTTAAAGGAACGGAACTGATTAACGATGGAGAACAGGAGGGGAAGCAGACACAGGTGGGACACATCAGGGATGATTAACCAAAGGAAGCAAAACTAGAACTCAGACACTGGGGCGAAACGACTATCAAAATAAAACAGGAAGTGCACGGGTAAACAGAGCACAAGACAGGGAAGACTACACTAGACACTGGAAATACCCAAACCAGAAATACACAAAACCCAGAACAGAAACCCAAAACACAGAAAACTAAATCATCAAGAAAGTCCAAAAAAAGTCCAAAAAACCAAAACCCTGGAGCCTCTAAGCTGAGATCATGACAACAAATGCACACAACACAACCTAACCAAATGCCCTATTGGCAGCATTTGTCTGTGTAGTCATGCTGTGTGTATTTGCAGCACATGATGTTTTCTTGATTTGATCGTGTTTTATCTATTTGCATAAATTTCAGTATGAGTCCACAAAACACGGGAATTGAGACCTCCATTCATTTCCTGTTTGAACCCAATAGTCACCTTGTTTTTTTTTAACCATTTCACAACCTTCACTGCATGTTTTATCATTGTGATGACAAAGGTCCTCTAACCTAAACTAAGTGCTTATTTTAACCAAAACTACAATCTTTTCCTAAACCTAACCAAACCCTGACCATAAAATTAACCATGTGTTTATCATTGTAATCACAGTGACGAAGATCTGGTACGCCACCGCTGGTAGACTCCATGAATTTATTATTGTAACCATGGCAACGAAGGTCCACTACACTGGCCACCATAGTGCCTCTAGGTGAAGAGACACTCCTATGGGTCGTATCAGAGGGTTGGGGCAAATGACCTACAGTGGACTGCTCCTTCTAGTTGTTTTATACAGCTAGTAGCTCAACATAGATAAACAGCTGCCAAACACAATGTTCACGAGCCAGGAAGCAAACGCCTCACTCCTTCATAGACAATTGATTGTAATAAACAAAGGACAGAGAAGACCTGAATGTCTCTACACTAGTACAGTACAGTTACTGTATGATTACAACACAGCTGGTCAGTAAGTGCTAACATTAGCAATCAGCCGAATGACAAGTAAATGATATGCTCCTACTGTCATACACTAGCATGTAACATTACTGTAAATTAGCATCACTGCAACACCAGAATGACTTCCTGTTAGCATCAATCTGCACATCATCACACTAACACTGTGCATAAACAGTAAATGTAACTCATTTATACATATATAAGTATAGGTATATGTGTTAAACAACCAGAACTTGAGAGGGGCATGAGAAAAGTGTAGGACACAGGAGAAGCTTTCACCATGCACACATGTGCTTCACACTACCTGTTTACTACAGGTTTCCTATCCTACAATGCACAGCATGTCTCTTGCAGTGTTTCAAATAAAAGTCCATCATGAGTTTAATGTAAATCAATGTGCTCAATCTGGATAATATATTTCAATATGAATTATAGTAAACTACAACAGGCAATGTGCATT